CAATGGCAAACTTCTGAAATCAAAGTGCCTGGTAGACATTAAACAGTGATTCTCAACCAGAAGTACATGTACACTTGGGGGTACTCAGAAGTCTTTCAGGGAGATACATCAACTCATCTACATATATGCTTAGTTTTAGAACAGGCAACATAAAAAGAACTAGCAAATCCAGTGCAAACTAAAATTTCATGCAATCACTTGCTTATAATGCTCTATATATTATACACTGAAATTAAGTACAATATTTATATTCCAATTGATTTATTTTATAATGATATAGTAAAAATTAGAAAGTAAGCAATTTTTCAGTAACAGTGTGCTGTGACACTTGTATTTTTATGTCTGATTTTGCAAGCAAGTAGTTTTTAAGTGAGGTGTAACTTCGGGGTACGCAAGGCAAATCAGACGCTTGAATGGGGTACAGTACTCTAGAAAGACTGAGAGCCACTGCATTAAAATGTTAACATCAGAACCCGATCTTCTAAGTATTTATTGATACTAGAATGAGGCTACAGCCAAGATATCTACTTCATGAAGAATAAGCAGACAGAACAGGACATTCAATACCACAGAGGTTTCTGCATGTATGTCAGGCCAGAATTTGTTCAATTTAGGACAGGTATGTGACAAATTTGCAGACAATTGCTGGCATCTTCAGCATTTGCTCTCCTTTGCAAGACCTGCTTTAAATAAATTATCTGAGGTTCAGTAGAATCTCTTGAGGATCTTGTTCTGAAAATAATTTTGAGAAAGCACTTCTGACAGTCGAAATAAATTTCTGCCCCACCCTCCAAGAGGAATTTTTATTTTGTCTAACTCTCTCCTCATTTAGCTGTAATCCCTCACACACATGAATTGCCATTTGTCATCTATTTGTATGCAATCTCAGCAAAACGGTTATCATCAGTCTTTCACAAGAAAGTCTCATTTCCCATATTCTTATGGAGACAAGATAGCACAAAATATATATTGTTTTTAAAATGTGGAGCATGCAGAAGATATGTATTACACAGCCATTAAAAGGGCACCTTCAACTGAAAAAAAGTCACTAACCTCTGATTTTTTGCTACTGTTTGTTGCTGAAAATAAACATTCAATATTAGTTTGGTTACACTGTCCTAGGCAACTTTACTGCTTCCGCTGTATAATTTGCCCGTTTGGTTTTTGTGAGGCTTCCACACACCAAAGGGGGGGAGGGGGGAGAAAATATAACTGCAAACCACAAACATTGGCAGACATTTTTGGTTTTGTACATTTGTATCATTACCCCCAATGAAAAGTTCAAAAAGATGCCCAAGAAAAAAATAATATGGAGGCTCTGATACACAAAAAGGAAACCTCTCCATAGGGTTTATTCTCCATTATGTATGTTTTATTGGATTATTTGACAAAAATCAATGTCTTTCTTGATATATTAAAGCTGGACACATTACCTGGTTCAACTACAACAAGAAATTATTCCAGATTCTTAATATTAATTAAAGGTCATCTTACATTTTTGGAAAGATGTTTCTAAAAGTAAAAAGGTCACTAGACTCAACTACAGAAAGTGTACACAACACATTTAACATACCCACATTTTATTAAATTTGGAACTATATTATACTCATTAGTTTTGAACATTCACTAAAACTTACCAGCTTTAGATTTCAAAAAAATGTACTAAGCATAGAAAACATTGAGTTAGTAGTTTGATTGTTGGCTGTTATGGACCTGTTGCTGTAAAAGTAAAAATTTTTTTTTTAAAAAAAACCTCAATGTTACCCAACTTAGAGATGTACTGGTTACAAGTACAAGTTTTATTCTGAACTTTTGCTCAGTAAAAACGGTTTTAGGGGGTTCATGTTTATTATTTATTGTGTTTCCATATCAAAGGGGACATAAGGTGACATTGACAAGTCCTAATAATACACTACAGGACTCAAAAACTTGACTGGTTTGTTTCTGGATGGTGTCCCGCCACCTTAATATAGTTTCAGCAGGCCAGACTATAACGGGGCTACTCAACCTACTTCAAGTTAAATACAAGTGTAAATCTTTGCAGGACTGGGGCAGCTGTCTTGAAATCATGGCACTCCGTTACATCCTAAGTAAGTCCACTTAAAGCTACAGGGTTAGAGGAGGCAATATTGAAAATAACATTTGGCCTGCAGAATCTTTATTATCTACGATAATGCAAAAAGCAAGAAAGGAATCTTGCCAGATTCCAAGACAAGTTTCTGCTTAGGAAAAAAACCTGTTATTTGTAAACTGAGAAAATATAATATAGAATCACAGACAAACAAAACACTACTTGCTACTTTTACGGAATTGCTTTTCAGATTAGAACTGTGTTTTAGGCTTGAAAAAAAACAAGGGAGGCATAAAATGACTTTCTATGCACGCTTCAACTTAATATTGGTAGATTTTTAGGCCAAGAGAGAGACCATTATGACTACCTATATATGACCTCCTGCATAACACAGGCTATAGAACTTCACCCATTAAGTCCTGCATCATATTCAGAAAATTAACAGCCTGAACTAGAAACATATCAGAACCTGTCTTGATTAATAATTTCTCCAATACCGTCTACCATTATAATACACTACTTTTCTTGGATACTGAAAAATCTTTGCCAAGACCACCTGTGATAAAATACCCCAATATGAAGTTGTTTTGTTACAGTTGAACTAAACTAAGAAACCTGCTTTTTAGGAGACTTTCTAGATCAATAAGCATGGACAAGTTTATCAACACCTAAGACGAAGTGCCAGTTTGATAAAATCGCTTTTAGCTATACAATTTAGGCTATCAAGACTTTTCAATGTCGCCTACTTCAAGAGCTCCTTCAGCATCTTTTTCATCTTATTTGCAAACCAATAGTCTCAGGGCTTGTCTTCACTGCAGAGTTAACTTAAGTTGTAAATTGAGTGTTGCCCCTAACTCAAGTCCCAACCACACAAAAAAACACTAACTCAAGCTGACTGGCTTGATAGGGGCATAGGCTCCAGCTAACACAACTCTCAGCTGTTAATACAATAAGGCTACATTTACACCACAGCCAGGATCGACACACTGAGATCGATCCACCGGCGGTTGATTTAGCAGGTCTAGTGAAGACCTGCCAAATCGACAGCAGATCGCTCTCCAGTTGACCCCTGTACTTTACCCCCAACGAGAAGAGTAAGGTAAGTCGACGGGACAGTGCAGACCCCGCAGTAACTCAACGTAAGGTACGTCGACTCCAGCTACGTTATTCACATAGCTGAAGTTGTGCAACGTAGGTCGACATACCACAGTAGTGTAGACATAGCCTAACACCTGAGTTAGGTAGCGTGACATTTCACAGTGGCCATTCTCATTCTGCAGTAACGACACAGCTTCAGTCAAGTCAATAGTTATTTTTTCTTATAAGCCACACCACTATTATACAAGGCAGCAAGGATCCCTTGGTAATGCACAGCAGACAGAATAGTAGTACACCATGCCTGCAACCTCACTAATCACAAGTTCAATTCACAACTTAACCTGCAGAGTATAAAATGACACGAACAGAAGAGAGGGAGAATTTTTATTTTACAAGTAAAAGCCATAGTTCCACTTTATAATATAGATACTTAAAACATGGAATACAAACACTGTTTTTCTACCATATTTTATAAAATGAATAGAAGCTTTGCAAACAGAAACTTCAGGAGTTTTACTTAGGAAAAGAAAGCTTTTTATGTTATTCTACTGTAAGTAGAAAAAAAAATCAGTAGTTTAACTATCAAAATAAACTCCTTTTAAAAAAAGGCATGTTTTCCGTTGTAAGAGGGTTTAATTTAAAAAATACTCAAAACATAAACTGCTCATATATACCAGTTATAGGCTACCAGTCTACCAATTGACAATTCGTACTTTTTTCTTGTAGTACTGTATGCCCCAGCTAAAAACAAAGATTCTCTACTGATAGTTGATAAATCAGCAGTGAGATTTGTCCTATTAATGTTTATGTAAAATGAAAAAGTCATTGTAGAAAATCATACTGACAAGGCTTCAGCAACGAACATTCACTGCATAGCCTACTGTAATAATTAGAAAAGCAACTACCAGTTTTAAAGGATTCCTCAGTTTAAAATAGGATATACGACAATTAGCAAACAATGTTAACTGACAATATCATTTAACAATCTTTATAGCTGCTTTTATGTAGACTTATAGAAACATTAGTACAGTGTCTTGCTTTACTTTATTAAGAACCACCTTTTAACTTGGCACATTTAGGCCATGCCACTTTTCCAAAGATAAAGGAACCGTACAGTACTTTTATGAAACTTTAAAACACAGTCACTCTTGGGCATATTTAACAGGAGCAAAAAAAGGAAAAAAAAATCTTAAACGGGGGAAAAGCTGATATGGGATTACAAGTCATGTCTGAAGGAAGTGTAAACACACCCTCAAACAGGAATTTCAAAACAGCAGCAAAGCATCTATATTAGGCGTAATTAGCGTCTCTGATATGTTTGACTGATTACAGAACACAACACACAGGAGCTCAAGTCTAGCCGGACAGAGCACAACCAGGCCATAGTTACCTCTTCTATGGCAGAGGCAAAACCACAACAGCAGCAGGCTGCAGAGTCAGCATGCCGAAGGGTGGAAGGAGGCGGTGGCAACTCTCCCACCTGCAATGATTTACACCAGAAACAGCCAGACAATAGTTGTGGCCCCGCGCAAGAAGCCACCTCCCGGTCACAGACCCACGCGGCATCACCAGGCAACCCCCACACCGCCTCCAAACACACAGAGACAAAGTTTTGCTGTCCGGGGGGGAGGGCACCACGCACCCATCGCCCCCTCCCCAGCCCGTCAGAGGAGCGGCGGGTTCCCCCCCCGGTCGGAGCCCACAAGGAACAGTCACCGCAGCCCAGCCCCCGGTTCCCCCCCGAAGCGCCAGCCCCGAGGCACCGATGCCCTCGCCCCCCTTCGCACCCGGGACCCCCCGACCGACACAGTCTCGCCCCGCCCCCCCTTACCGTGCGCTGGGGGGCGGCGGCGGCAGCATGCCCGGCTCCCCCTCGCTCTACACGGGGGAGGGGCGGGGGCTGCCCGGGACGCCCCCCTCCTCCTGGGTCCCCCCTGTCCGCTCGCGGAGGTGGGAACTGGTCTCCAGGCAGCGCGAGCTCAGAAGAGGGGGCGGGATGGGGGGGGGCTGTGGAACGCTGGGCGCGGCCGTAAAGCGCTTCCGGGATCCGGGCCGCCGGCCTGGCGACAAGGGGAGGGGCCCAGCCCGCTCTACCCAGGCGCCAACATGGCGCCGCCCAGGCCGGCTGGCCGCCGGCCCAGATATCGCGAGACTTGACGAGAAAAGGGCCAGCGGCGGCGTGCGGCGGGGATAATTAAATATGTGAGGGGTGGGCCAGGGGCTGACTGGGCGCGCGTGCGGCGTGGCGAGCTGAGAGCCTTGGGCTAAGAAGCCGGGAGGAGGCCCTGCGTTCTGCACGCGCCCTGCCTGCGCGGCGGGACAGCGGCTGCAGGGGGCCTGGGGCAGCGCAGCGCCAGCCGGGGGGTGTTAGTTGCAGCCCTGCCAGAAAAAATCACGTGCGAGTGAAGCAGCTTTAAGGCCTTGCTCAGCGGAATTGCGGTTCCCGCCTTGGGCCCTGCAGAGCCTGGGGGTCTCGCTGTTTTGTTTTTTTCCTTTTTCATTTTATGCTGGGGAAGGGTCGGCAACTCCCTTCCCTTAGGTGTGATACACACAGCCCCGCTCCAGCTGCAGGCCCACATTGGCCGAGCTGATTAGAACCTGCACTCACCTACATTGGCCAGAACCATCACTTGCTGCTGCACTCAGCACCTTCGGGCCTTGGTGTGTGGATCTGGAAATGAAATCTTTGCAGGCTAACTGAAGTTTATGCAAATTTTGAGTTTGCTTTTAATTAAATCTATCCTGTATCTATTCCATTTGTTAGACCATTTATACCTCATTAAAGGAAGAAATCCTCTCTACAACTGTGTTTTAGCCTGGTATGCTAAGTGCAAATGGCACAATTTTAGAACAAGTTTTTCAGATGTTTTTTTTCCACATTTTCTGTTTTCACTGCCAGGTTTGGAAAGGTCATTTTTTGATGTTCCAATTGCATCTTGATTGTTGCAGAATTCCTTATAGAGCTGATCCATGTTAATGATTTCCTTCATTCTGAGTGCTTCTGTTACAACTCAAGATTTGGCAAACAAAGCTTCTTATGGAGGCCAATTTCTAACATCATAATGATGTTAGAGGAGGCCCTGAACCAATTATTAATGTACAAATGCAAAGTCATAAAACTTAATAAAGTCTTGCTTTACCTTCACTTTTTGGTGTGGTAGTAGTTTTGCCGTCAGTTGTTTGGCTTTGAATTAAAAAAAAGGACCTCTTTAGGTTCAGCATCTTCATCTTAACATGGGACATCTGTATACACATCAATAATGCATAACTCTGATTCCTCCAACTTAGTTGAAGACACAAGCCACATTGTGAAAAAAACATATGTAAATGTCCATAATGCAGGAATACTCGCCATCTTTGGTGAACATTTTCTTTTAAGCTACTGGGCAAGACTCCCCTAGTGACTTGAAGTTGGCTGCAATTGCTGGCCAGTTTCTCAAAAGTCAGTTGACTGCTGGGTTAAGGGATAGCCAATTTGTATTCACATGTCACCATATTTCTTTCCATTCAATTTCAACAAAGAAAAAATCCTGAATGCTTCTCTGAGCTTTGCAGGGACAGAAAAATGGTTGTAAATTTTCAATAAAATCATTTTTGTGTCAATTGATAGCCCACAATACTTGCAAATGTGAGTGATTGGCTATGCGTATAGAGAAGTTCATCTCAATGCAATCATTTTCAGCACATAACAACTGATACACCAAGTTGTGTTTACCATAGTTCATATTTGCATTATCAGAGCATGCAGTAATACAATTAATGTTAAGCTAGTGTTTATCTAGGCTGGTCTTTATAACAGAATGAATGCCTCTTGCAGATTCATCATAGTCTTCATAAAAATTGAGCAACTTGACTGAACACCATGTGACATGGTAAAGTATTGCAAGCACATCAGAAACATCTTTCTGTTCTCTTTACTTGAAGGGTCAGTTGCTATTGCAAAATACATAGGCTGTTTTGGTAGTGAGGGCAATAAATCCCATAAACAATTCCTCACAGACTTTGGGACCAAAACATTAGTCACTAATAGGCCTGCCTTGGTTCTTCCACAAGACAATTTGTTAACGTAGGAATCCCAAAAATATTTCGCTAGCAAGCTTATTGCCATAGTCCATGCTCTTCCAACTAAGGCTGTGTTTAACTGTGTGGTAAACAGCTGCAATTTCACACTCTGCAATTCTGTCTCTTTCAGTGTTTGAAAAGACAAAGAATTTGCTAATATTTGTCAGACCTTTAATTTGTATGTTTTTCTCCTATAAGTTTTGCTTCCATGCCTGATGAATTCATTTGAATTCATCAGTGAATGTATGGCAGCACAAAGTACAAAAGGTTTTACCAGAATTGCTACTGACAGGTTTTACCCAGCTGTATTTTTCTTCCCATTGATGTTTTTATATAGTCTCTTCACTTTCTTCTGTTTAGGCCCAGGACTGTCTGAAGTTCCCACTAATATTGCAAGGCAGCCAGGCTGCTGCATCTGGTCCCACTGGAGCTTTCTCTACGTGGGTGGCTCCGCCCGTAGATACAGAGTTGCAGGAACTGAGCCTGGACGTGACAAGTTGGAGCGTTCATCCCACTGTCCTGGCTAAATTCCAATATGGAGAATTACATTCGAGATCCCTAAATCTCCTTCCTCCCCTCTGCTGCAGTTGCTATTGCATAATTAGCTCTGTGACGTTGTGCAGTCTATATGGTTTTATAAAAATATAAGTGAATGTAAGGTAATTGGGATATAAAGCTCATAATCTACTGAGTGTGATCATCCTATTTGTAGAAATGTACCACTCTTGTATCTAAAACTAGAAATATAAAACATAACTCTGAGGGCCTATTGTAATTATGTAAAGTGTGGGCCATTAATGATGGTTTGGAATCTTGATGACTCCCATTAACAAGGACCATTGTCTGCAGATGACTGTGTTTACCTGTGAGTCTTCCTGTATATGTGTGTGCTGGCAAGTGAGTAATGAAGTCTTGCAGTGACATGTGATCATGTCACCTGAACTGGAATCCATCTTTAACCTGGTGCTTTTCCAGTGAGGGGGGGGTGAAAACCCAGAGGGACAAAGAGTTCCCGCCTTATGCAAAAGATATATAAAGGGGTGGAAGAGAACAGAGAGAGAGAGGAGCCATCATGGAGAAGCCCCTAGCTAACACCTAAGCTGGAACAAGAGCTGTACCAGGGGAAAGAATTGTGCCCAGGCCTGGAAGGTGTCCAGTCTGAGAAAAACTTACTGAAGCATCTCTGAGGGTGAGATTACAGAAAGTAGGATTTAAGTGGTTCCAAATAGTAACAGACAGAACAAAGTAAGTCACCAAGCAAAATAAAATAAAATGCGCACATCTATGTCTGATCAAACTAAATACAGATAAGATCCTCACCAGTTCCAGAATGCTCCCTTTTACAGACTAATCTCCTTTTAGCCTGGGTCCAGCAATCACTCACACCCCCTGTAGTTACTGTCCTTTGTTCCAGTTTCCTTCAAGTATCCGGGGGAGGGGGGTAGTGGAGAGGCTCCTTCTTTAGCCAGTTGAAGACAAAATGGAGGGGTCTCCCACGGGTTTAAATAGACTTTCTCTTGTGGGTGGAGACCCCCTCCTCACTCCTATGCAAAGTCCAGCTCCAAGATGGAGTTCTGGAGTCACCTGGGCAAGTCACATGTCCATGCATGACTCAGTCTTTACAGGCAGAAGCCATTGTCCACATGGTATCTTGTATGTCTCCAGGAAGATTTCTTATGTGGATTGGAGCATTCCAAGTTGCATTGTTCCCCAAATGCTTCCTGATCGGGTACTTAACCTTGCGAATTCCTTCCTAAAGAAGTGACCAAATGCCTCACAAAGCTTACTTAGAAATCAAGCAAGTATACATAACTTTGAACACATGAATGGTGCCTGCATACAACTAGGATGAACATAACCAGTAGATCATAACCTTTACATAGATATGTTACATGGCATATGTAGCAAAACCCTATTCCAGTTATATCATACATACGTTTATAAGCACAGCCCCCACATAAAGCCTTATGGGATACACTGTCACAGTGTTATTTTGCATTTGTGGAAAACATGGGGCTCTAGCCGTAGTAATAATATTTGTCCACCTACTTATGTTGTGTGCTGTAATGGGGCCAGAGTGTTTGCATAGGCAAAGAGTCATAATGAGGTTCCTGCTATTGCAGGGTGCATGGTGGCCACCTGGGCCCAAAGACATAAAGAACACTTGTGCGAGAAACACAGGATACGGCTTAATTTCTAAAGGGCATCAGCCCATGCTTTTCTTACTCTTGATATAGAGCCATACATAGCACTTGTTTGTCCTTAGACTGTGAGCCCTACAGGGTAGGGACTGATCCTTCTGGCTTCTCTGGCAAGTGCCTCACACTTTCTGCCACTGGGGTTTAGGTTCCTGTTAAAACAGAGGCAAGTTAATTAGTCCCACAATGAATCAGCAACAAAGCCAGGATTAGGTATTAGGAGTTCATGCCTTGCTCAGGCACTTAGCCAAAGGGTTCTGACATGTTCACACTGTGTGGACCACATCTTAAAAGGAAAGTTTGTCTTGTTGATCCACTTCCTCCCCCTGCAACAGTGCACAGACCACTTCCTCTCCTATTCATGTGGCAACTACAGCAATTGATTACATGGAAAAGTAATATTAGGAAAGCATTGAATATATATTTTAGCTTCTTTTAATGTGATTTAGCAGCTGGAAACAAGGAAAGCTGGTATTGTGTCACCAGCCAGTTCTTCTCAAACAGCTGTTTAAAAGCTAGTGCATTAAACAATGGTCTGAAATATGTTAGTGTGTGTGTGTGTGTGTGTTTAAAAAAGTAAAATATATTATACTTTGAAAAAGTATGCATCAATACTTAATATTAAAACAGGTAACTAAAAGGAGAATGGAATTCA